GGAATGTTCCAGGCATGTGAATCCCATGCACAAAGGCCCAAGTGACAGTCATGGTAATGAGGTCTTGATAGAGGGGCTGCATATCAGAGGCTGGCCTACCAGTGACTGAGTAGTGACAGTGAGGGTAGGGAGGACCAGACCTCCAGAGAGAGAGAGAGAGAGAGAGAGAGAGAGAGAGCTCTGATCGCCTGTGTGGATGAATGGAACATGAGCACCAGGCCAGCTTCTGAATGTGAGTGTCAGGGGTAGATCTGGGAAAGCTGGTGATAGGTCTGACTATGGGGAATGAGACCCCAGGCTAGACCACACCAAGGATGGATTATCCTGCTTGAGTAGGAAGATTTGATAATGCTGGGGCCTCCACGGTAAATGGACTCCTGACTCTGGCCTCTAACTTTTCTCAGGTGAGTTTAGTTGCTGGAGTCACAACGCTCTTTTCCTTCTTCTTCTCCCTTCCTTCCTGTGGGGAATCACCTTCCCTCTACCTTCCTGCTGCTATGCAGTGTCTGTCGTTTGACAGTGAAGTGGGCCTGAGAATTTGTTAGCTCCCCCACCCCACCCCTTTCTTGGTTATTCTCAGCACCAGGAAGGGAAGGCAAACTGCTTCTGAACCCTTCTCTGCTGGCTGTTCTGAAAGCATGGACCTTGGTGGGAGGCAAGGGCTTCCCTGGTTTCTAGCCTTAATGCTACCGAGGAAAACAGCAGGTGCTTAGAGCCTCTCTTGAGATCTCAGGGATGCTCTGCAAAGTGATGGTTTCTTGACTCACACTGTGTTGTGACAAAACCCTGGGCTACAGCAAGGGCAGGCTCAGCATTGCAGGACACTGAGACCTTCCCCTGAGCATTGATGGCCTGGTGCGCCCCGGACAGCATCCTGAGGATAGCTGGCCTGGCAAGCAGGTGCTGCTGGAGTGTGAGGAAGGTCTTGGTGGATTTGTTGACCATGATAGTCACACTTGGCAAACCCTAGAATCCCTGTGTCAGGGTATTCACGAATGAGCTCCATTGAAGGTGAGAAGACAGGCTCAATAGCTGGCCTGGCTTTAGCCCCCCCTACCCCATAATGTTGGCCAGGCCCTGTTTTTCATGGGCCTCACAATCCAGTCCAATGGCCTCAGAGCCTCCATACCTGGATGTCATGGTTGGCTTTCAGAGTGACAGTGTCTTAGATGAGCACTAAAGTCCTTATGTCCTGTGCTGGGAAAGTTAGGTTACCAGGCTCGGTGCTAATGGTAAACAGTGGACCCAGGAAAGCCCTGGGCTTGGGCATGAGATTTGTCCTGTGTGTGATGCCATGTGGGTCCCTTAGATGGGTATCTCAGTGTCCTTGGCATTAAAAGGGGCACAGTGGTAACAGCTTCTTCCTGTGATGTGTCAGTCAAGGTCAAACGGGCTCTTCATGGCATGCAGTCAGCAGAATAGGTACCCACCACCCTTGAGATAATTGCAAAATGAGGACCAACCCTTAAAACCAAGAAGACCAGAAGTGAGATGAGATACAGGGTGATGGTAAAGGGTGATTAGGGGCCACTGCTGCCTCAGGGAGTTTCTCTTATTTTCTGCTTGGTGGTTCCTGCCCTGTGGGCAGGGCTCCTGTGGGCCAGGGGTGTGGACAGCCTCAAGCAAGAAAGCTTCAGCATTCCTGCCTCCTTTCTGTGCAGATCAAAGTGCCCAAAGCTGTGGGGACCCCACCCATGCTGTTTCAGTTGTAGCCAGGACCCCTGAAGAGCAAGTTGCAATTCTGAGCTCCTTGAAACCACTTCTGATAGAAGCTGGTGGAGCTGCTTTTGGCAAGACAGGAGGGAGCCAGATCACTTGAGAAGACCCAGAACTGAGGCCCAGTTTGGCCCATAGAATGTATGGTTTGGCAAAACATTTGGACTTTCTGTGTTTTGGTTTCTCCATCTGTGGGAGAGGGACACATCTCAGGGGCTCTATCTGAAGGGTTGAGCAAGCCCCAAATCATGGTTACACCCCTATCAGGGTGTAGCCACAGCCTGTGGGATGTGGAATGGGTAAAGGAGTCTAAGGTGGTAACTTCCTTGCTGTCTGGCTTCCCCAGCCGCAGAGCATCTCAGTGGTCTCCTTGTTGCAGCCCCTAGCAAGGTCTCCCCAGGCCTCTGACTTGGAAACTCAAACTTCCATTGGGAGTTAAGGGAACGATGTCACAGGGACTCTGTTCCCTTGAACAAGGGCTGAATGGTGTGTCCTCTTCATGAATGTGGGGTGACTTGTGAGTATGCATTTAGACTCAAGAAGACTCCTGTCTTCCATCACTGTGTTGATATTTTTTTTTTTTGTTATGTTGGCCCTAGCAGCATGTTTGTTGCATTGGTGTACACTGTGCCCAGTACTGTCTGGGTCCCATACTTATGGGACAGAGCTATGAGCTTTGTGGTATGGGGGAACTGAAGAGCTGATCCAAGTATAGGGGTCTGGAAACCTTCTTAGAGGAAGTATGGGTAGACATACTTAGACGTATTAGTCTGAAGGCTAATGGAGTGACCAAGAAGTGGCGCAGTATCTTAATTACTATTCTATTGCTGGGAAGAGACACAATAACCTAGGAATCTTATAAAAGGAAGCAGTTGCAGAGGGCTAATCTATGATCATCATGGCAAGGAATGTATTGGCAGGCAGGCAGGGAGACATGGTTCTGGAGCAAAAGCTGAGAGCTTACATCCTGATCTGCAGCCTGGATGTGCACAGAGAGTGTGCATTCGTGAGTTTCGGCCTTGCATGGACTTTTGGAACCTCAAAACCCAACCCCAGCGACACACCTCCTCCAATAAGGTCACACCTCCTAATCCTTTTTAAATAGTCCACCAACTGGGAATCAGCATTCAAACATATGAGCCTATGGGAACCATTCTCATTCAAATCACCACAGGTATCATAAGGGCAGAGGGTGCTAAAGGCAAGGTTGTGCCAAGGCAAGACACACCCTTCCCAAAGGTCTGGTTGGCTTGAGTGTGGCGTGAGGCATGCATGGTTCAGTGTGGAGGTTGTCCTCAGGAGGGAGGAGCAGAACCATCCACAGAAAGAGTTTAAATATGCAGGCTGGGGTTCCGGGAGACTGGCCATCTCTCAGCTTCTGAGCCTTGAAGGACTGGACCCCAGTGGACAGTGAGCCCCACCTGGTGGCCTGAGCCATGGACCAGGTCAGGGTGTTGATTTCATCCTGGACAAGTGGGTAAAACTGACTTTGAGGTCCCTTCCAGCTGTCACACTCTAGTTCCTCTGAAGCCCCCCTGGGACAGCAGACTATATGAAATATAAATCAATAGGTTAAGACCATACTTGTCTCCTGCCCAGCGAGGCCCTGTCACTTTGCCTGCCTCCTCTGTATTTGGAAGATCATGTCTAGCTTGGGCAGGTCATGCACTGACGGGAGAAAATCGCTTTGTTCAGAGAGAGGTAGAGCCAATCTCGCCTTCGTTGACAAGGCTCTGCTTTTCTCTTTAATCATCACTGCCTCTTGGCTATAAGCTCACCAACACCCTCTCTTTCTATCTCCCTGCTCTAATCATCAGGGAAAAACAGATACTTGATCAGTCAGCCTCTTGGGACCCGGTGCCTGGAAAGTTCTGCTCTTGATGAGGGAGGAGCAGAAGGGTGAATATGGCCGGTGTGGTAACCCCAAATTAAAGAAGCTAAGGGCTTCTACTAGAACCAAACATGTCCAGGTTCACCTCCCAGGGTTCCCATGACAACGGGACTGTTAGGTGTTGGTAATATGGACTGGCAGTGAATGAAATGGAATTTGATGTACATGAGAATCCAGGCGCTAGCCGAGTAATTGCAGATCAATCTCTGTCTCCCCTGGGCTGTCTGACCGACTTTCTTTCTTCTTTTTCTTTCTTCCTTCCTTCCTTCCTTCCTTCCTTCCTTCCTTCCTTCCTTCCTTCCTTCCTTCCTTCCTTCCTTCCTTCCTTCCTTTCTTTCTTTCTTTCTTTCTTTCTTTCTTTCTTTCTTTCTTTCTCTTCCTTCTATGCATGGGTTTTGGAGAACATTTGAGCGCTTTGAGGCACATTAATTTACATTTTTCTGAGGCACTGTATTTTCTTCACTGCTGCTTTGTCATAGGCCCCCTGTGTGTTGAGTAGTTTAACAAATAAAAGTGTCGGCTGGTGATTTATAGAGCCCTCTGGCTGTCACCCTCACCTCCCAACCCCTGTCATCACTCCCGCAGTCCAGGACAAGAAATGACAGCTCAGCCTCGGGGGCTGGCTTCTCTCTAGGTCAGCCTCGGCAGGCAGCTACTTTCGTGGGTTGCGGGAGATATGTTGGCGCATTGATGAACAGCCCCATCTTCAGAAGCTTGCCAAATACTCTCCGTGCCTGTTTTGTTTACTTTCTTCATTGCTATGACAATAATACCCGACAACAGAAACACAAGAGAGGAAGGGTTTGTTTTAGCTCACCGGTTGAAGGCACAGGTGATTGTGGTGGGAAAGGCATGCCGGGAGGAGCATGAGGCAGCCTGATCACACTGAATCCACAGTAAGCAAGCAGAGAGAAATCAATGCTGGTGCTCAGCTCAGTTTCTCTTTTTCATGTAGCCCAGCCCATGGCACGATACCACCGACCTCGATTAGTCTAACTTAGAAAATCTCCCATAGACATGCCTAGAGGCTTGTCTCCTAGGCGACTCTGGATGGATCCTGTCCAGTTGACAGTGCTGTCCATCATAGTGTGCGTCCTGGGACCAGGGCCTTGCTGAATATCTGGGCTTGTCTGAGGCTGGGTTTAATGATTCTCACAGAGTCGCAGCTACCTGGTGGCTCTCGTGGTTCGGGATGTCTCCAGAGTCTTTTGAGAGAGAAGAAGGGAGTTTCCAAAGTGGTAGCAAAGCTGGATAATCAGCACATTGGCACCTGAACATCAGGCAGCAGGGTTTGAGAGACCCCAAGCCCAGCGGTGGAAAGAATCACTGTATTCCTCCCTCAGAACCTTGAAATGAGCTGATGTCTGCATTTTCCTTTCTGTTGATACCACAGGTCATCTTGATCCTGACAAAATACTACCATGCAGACATGGGGAAGGTTCTGGAAAGCTCTCTGTGGCGGTAAGTCAGCCCATTGGGCTTTTCTCTTCCTATACCTGTGTGCCATCATCTCCCAGTCTCCTGGCTGAGGCTGGACTCCCACCCGGCCTCTAGCCGCTCCCGCCCACTAACGGGCCTCACCAACTTTCAGTGGCTAGAAAGGCATAATGGAGATGTTGAAAGCGGATTAGGAGTTTCATCAGGGGGACAAAGGGCGCTGGCAGATGGACAACTGTTTGGAAGGCTTCTTTCCTTGCTCTTCTTTTCTGTCTGTTGTTTTCTCCTGGTTCTTTTTGCCTCCTCCCCGGAGGAGGAGGCCGGCAGTGTGAATCCAGGTCACTGCACAATATCCCTGGCTCTGCTCTGGGCTCTATAGGCAGCTCCCAAGCCCCCCAAAGCTCAGGCTGGCCTCATTGTTGGGGTATTTTGCTTTCTTTCCGGCTTAGCCAAAGAACTGTAAATAAATAACCCACCCAGGCGGGATATCTCTTTATATGTGAAACATGAATTGGGCCCAAGGACATCAGACCGTCTTTGATGTCTGAGAGGAGAGGAGGAGGAGGAGGCTGCAGAGACCATTTTGGTCATTATCATTGTCAGTTCTGCTCGGAGCATGAGGGCCTCTCGGCTTTGGGGTGGTTGGTATCTTTCGTCCCACGGGAATTTTACCAGTCTCATCATTTTTTGGTATGAGATCATTTTGCCTTCTCCGTGTGTTTTTCCAGTAGTGATTAATTTATTCCTGGGTTTGAAAAATACCTGCCAGTTGGGACCATTTGTTTGTTTGAGATAGGGTCTCATTCTGTATCCCAGCCTAGCCTGGAAACTCATCATGCAATTTCCTGCCTCTGTCTCCAGAGTGCTGGACCAGGCCTGTATCCCTGTGCCTGGCTCATCAGAATGACTTGGAGGATAAGCCACTCACACCTGCCTGCTGTGGGGATTCTCTTTAGCTTTGGCTTTGTTCGTATCAGAGGGATTTGGCATCCCACTTGTCCTATTTCTGTGGCATATTAGGAATGCGTTCCTATGGTGCCCGGAGGTTTTGTTTTGTTTTGTTTGTTTGCTTTGTTTTTTGTGATGACAATGTTACCTGGGGCCAACTGCCCAGGTCACTGCAGTACTAAAGCCTGTTGGGTTTTTGTCACTGCCTCCCCCACAGCCTTTCTGGACCAGCTCCCTCAGCCAGGAACTCACCTCCTAACAATGCTGAGAAACGGGAATGAGAAATGTTCCTGTGTGGAGGGTCAGCTCTCCTGATGTGACTCCAGTGCTCTCAATGTATCTTGCCGCCCTGGTGCTTGAGGAGGGGAACACCACTGCAAAATGAAGGCAGGCATAACATTCCCGTGGTCAGGCCAGTGAGGTGGCTCAGTGGGTAAAGGCGCTTGCCACCAAGCCTGACAACCTGAATTCAGTCCAGGCAACCCACATGTTAGGAAGAGAAAACCGACCCCTGCAGGCTGTCCTCTGACTTCCACACATGCCCCACGGCACACCTGTCTACATGTACCCACATATAAAATAAACACAAAGATTCTAGCAGCATTAGCTCCTCTGGGGATTAGCACTAGAAGTTTGGCTTAGGGGCATCACCTGGAGAAGGCAAGTGCGAAGGGGCACCCATCTTCCCACCAGGAGGATGGTCTCCCTTTGCCGCCACACCGATAAAGGTAGTTGTCATTCTTGTACACTAAACAAAAACCCTCAGCTACTCCAGACTCTGGACACCAGCAGTTGGGCTGCTCTGTTATCCTCCTCCTCAGATACCTTCCCTAGAAATTCCCAGAATGCTAGCTTCCTCCATTACAGTGGCTTCTCAGCCTGGCTAAAGGAGGAGGAAGTGGGCCTATCTGGAATGAAGTTTGGTGTCCAGGTAGCGAGCTGCTTTCCTGGCACAGCCAGACTTTTGCAAGGTGCTTGCTAGGTGTAGGTCCTACTTTGAGACTTAATAAAAAAAAAAAAAAAAAAAAAAAAAAAAAAAAAAAAAAAAAAAAAAAAGTAAAAAAAGAAAGGAAAAGGGAACATGACAGCTCCTAGGTGTGGTGGAGGAGGAAGTTTATTGTAGATAAAAGGAAGAACATAGCCAGAGTCAGGGGCATCTGGGAGAGTCCAGAGTGGACATGATGAGACAGAGCTGAGCCATGTGGGAAGGGGGGAGGAGGAGGAAGAGGGATCCGAGGGAAACTAGGTGCAGCAGCCTGGGGGCATAGAGGCACAGAGGGACTGAGGGACTGCAGGGGAACGTGGAGCTTAAGTAGGCATGTCAGCCATTTGTGGGGTGGGATGCTGAACCCTAAAAGGGACCTCGAAGGGTATGGAGGACAGAGAACGCTACCTGGAGTCAGGACTCCTAAGTGACAGGCTTGGATTCTTCAGGAGCAGATGGAGAACCCCAGAGGCCAAGCTACCCCCTTAAGAGCTGTGGGCCAGATAGACTTCCTTCACTGAGCCTCAGTTTCCTTGTCTGCCTGGGTAGGGAGGAACGAAATGGAGAAAAGGGAGGTGGTGAGACGGAATGAGGTGGCTTACAAAGCATCCCAAGAACAGTGTGTTGTCTAAATTTGGATTTTCCCCAAAGCGAAGCAACAGATTTTAATTTCTCCCGTCCCTTTCTCATCACTGTCTCTCCATCCAGACGTTTCCTCGGCTTGATTAAAAATGCATTCAGAAGCATTAGTCATTTTCAGAAACTTCCCCCATCTCCTCCGCTGGTGCAGCGTCTTGGTGTTTATAGTATGCTTTTTCTGTGCTGATGTGCTTGCACAGACTTAACAGTCTGAGGAGACTGGAGCTGAAGTTTTGCATTCCTTTCTCTTTTGCTCATAAACCAGGCTTCCATTTTGCACACTGTTCTGAGTCCTGCACAGCCATCACTTTCCTGGCTGCTTATGGGCCTTTGAGCTGATTCTTTGAGCCATGCCCGTGTGATGGCGCTGTAAAAAATACAAACAAACAAACATACAAACGGGCCCTGTTCTTTCCCTTCTCATTCTTTCCTTGGGATGGCTCTGCTGGCCTGAGGGAGAGTGGAGTGATGAGCTGCTGGAGCTCCCACCCAGGGAGGGTACAGCCGTCCCAGCTCCCCCCCCCCCCTGGGGGGGGGCAGAATCCAGCATTCACAGTTCCCCTCTGGGGAAGGTACAGCCCTCACAGCACCAGTATGGCAATTTATCAAAACTTTGCCAATTTGTCAGTATCCCAGCATCCACTTGATTCCTGGTGAGGAGCCATTTCCGTGCTGTTCTGATCACATTTTCTCTTGGGGGTGTCATCTGCTGGGAGGGGGCAAGGGGCACTGAGAGGCTCGACAGCATCCTGTGGGTTCTTCCCGGGGTGCTGCCTACATGCCGTTTGCATTTGAGGCCCCTGGAATGGATGGTTCAGGTGTGAATGTCCGGGGAACACATATTAAATGGGGTTATTAAAGACACACTTATTGAACACGCACCGATCCTCCCAGGAATTCTCCTGTGTGATCACAATAAATACAGTTTTAATGACAGGTCTGGTATTTACATTCTGGAGATGGCTCTGGGAAATCGAAGCTGAATGCATTTTTAATTGTTCTGTGTTTGATGGACCTCACATCAGCCGCCACTCCCTCATGGCTTCCTTGACCATCAGCAGCACCTTCGGTCTGCATCCTCTGTCAGTCTTGGGTCATTTGAACAGCAAAAAAAGGTTGGGAGAGACATACCCACCTTAGGACGTGCTGGCTGGCACCAGGGAATCGAAGTCATCTGTTTTCTGCTTCCCTGGACTCGAAGGGCCTGACCGACGCCTCCTCACTTAAGCCAATGTTGCTATCCTGTGTCCCTCCTTAAAACTCTAGGTGCAGTGGTTACTGTGCTACACGAACATTGTGGAACAAATGACCACACTTAAAACAGCCAGGGGCTCTCACCGTCCCGGAGGTCGAAGGTTCACACATGGGGTAGTGCTTTCCTCTGAAGAGGAAGAGGCCCATCATGTCCCCGCCTTCCCCTGGTGGCTGAGTCGCTGAGTCCTTGCCTCCAGGTGTTCAAATGTGTGTGGGTGAACATGTATGCAGGAACACAGGTATGTCGGCACACACTGCACAGGTGCACATTCGTGTGCGCAGGTCCGTATGCACATGGAAGTCAGAGGTCAACGTTCCGTACAGTTCCTTTGGAGCCATTCAGTTTTGCTGTTGTCGCTGTCTTGTTTTAAGGCAGGCTCTCTCACTGGCCCAGAAGGCTAAGCCCCAGGAACCTCCGCCCCACCAAGCTCTAGGATTAGACATGTGTACCCCAGTGCCTGCCTTTTTCACTGTGGGTTTTGGGCGCTGAACTCAGGTTCTCCTGTTTGCACAGCAGGCACTTCACTGGCTGAGTTATTGCTTCAGTCCCCTGCCTCTGTCTTCGCATGCCCGTCTTGCTGTGTGTTCCTTCTAAAGACAATTGCTGCCGGATCTAGGGCCAGATGATTTGGGATGTTGGCTTCTGGAGGATCTTAACCGAGCCATGTCTGTAAAGACCCCTAACAATTCATGGGGTCAGGACATGGGCATCTCTTTGAGAGAGCTACCACTCAGCCCATGGCACTGTCCATTATTAAGCTCTGGGTATGCCATCTGTATTGGATTTCCTAAATGGCCACTAGCTCTTGCCCTGTGCTCTGTGCACTAGCCATACCCCTTTTGTCCCACTTCTGCCACAGCTAGATCCCTGCTGCCCTCCTCAGCTGGCTACTGTGCCACTACCCACCCTTTCCCAGAAAGGCCCAGAGACTTGAAAAACACGGCCTGGTGCTGCTGATGGACTCAACTCCTCCTCATGGCTCACACCTGCCATCCCAACCCTCTGCCCAAACCCCTGGTGGGCCTCGGCCCTGGGGCTGGCAGGCACAGCTGGAGCTGCCACAGGGCATGAGGACCTGGGTGCTCCTGCTCTCTGGAGGGTTTGTGTGATATTTGTACCTACTCCAGAATAGAGCTGTAGCATGAGATAAAGAGAAATTCACAGAAAGTGCTCTGCGACTGCCACCCACCTTGCCCT